AGGCTGAGGCAGGAGACTCGCTTGAGCCCAGGAGTTGGAGGTTGCTATGAGCTGTGATGCCATGGCACTCTACCCAGGGGATAGCTTGAGGCTCCGTCTCAAAAAAAAAAAAAAAAAAAAGGGTCAGATAATAAATAGCTTTGCAGGCCATCCCTTATATTATGATTTAACAATGATGTTGTAGTGTCAAAGCAGCCATGGATAATAAATAAACCAACAGGGATGCCTATGTTCCAATTTATCTTTATTGGCCAAAACAGGCAGTGATACAGATAGTTTGCTCACTTATGGTCTAAAGGGCCACAGATAAACTCTTTAAATCCTTTTGCCAAATCTATTATTGGGGGTTGCGGAGAGGAACCAAAAGTTCAGATATGAATACCAAAAACTTATTTTACTTTTTTTTTTTTTTTTTGCAGTTTTTGGCCGGGGCTGAGTTTGAACCCACCACCTCCAGCGTATGGGGCCAGCACCCTACTCCTTTGAGCCACAGGTGCCACCCCAAAAACTCATTTTAAATGACCATAAAAGTGTACAGAATCTTGGAGTCCATCTGCAGTTGATGAAAAGATCTTTGTAGTTCAATTTGAATAGTATCATTAGTAGCTTTTTATAGAAACCAAGAATACATGAAAGACAAATTATAGACATTGAGTTATTTTCTGTTATTATTTCTATTATGATTAAGAAATTAAAATGTAAAAAAAGTTAAAATGTTATACAAAAGCTAAAAACTTAATTCTCAACTTCATACAGTGGCTACTAAAACAAATTAACATGGCCATTACACAAAAGGTAGAAATGGTGTTAATGACAACCACTAAATTCAAATAGCATAAGTTATTTTATTTTTAAGATTCCAACATTTTTATGGTTTTAGATGAGCAACAAAATATATACAAAGCTAAGATACAAATATTTATATCTCTACAATTAGCTGATTTTATAACCACTCCTCACATATGCAAAATTAACCTGAAACAAAACAAAACCCAAGCTTTTTAAGTTTTGCTTTTAAAAGACTTCAACTTAAAAAAGAGTTCTAAATTTGTATAGGAAAAAAAGCACAGTAAAACTTTAAATATTTTAAAAACAGATTACAGCTAAAAACATTACAAAGCCTGTATTTGCCAAGTCCTCAGGTATCCAACAGTGATAGCTCCTAAAAGCTAACAACATGTGCGGGAGAGTTATTTAAGCTCAAGAGGAACCCTGAAGTTTCTTGTTACTCAAACAAATCCCAAAGACATACGTTTTATTGGCATATACTCTGCATAGGTTTCTGCATGACCCATTTCTTCTTCATCTTCTTCCTCTGGTTCATCTTCCTCTTTTACAACAGGAACCTTCTGTAACACAAGAGCATGGTCAATTCCAAATCCAGAGACTGGAAGGAAGCCCAACCAACACTGAGAACTCTTCATCAATAATCTTCAATTTTGCAAACATGATGCACCATTTGAATGTTTCCTAAAATGTGGTCACACTTTGCCGCTTCCCAGTTTCTCCAATGATGAACACAGGCAATAATGTCCAACTCTGTCCCTATACAAATGGATCGGCACAGGGCTCTACCTCATTCCAGCTACTGTCACCTCAAACTATCTCCCCTTTAAACACTGCCTATTACTCTTCCTAATGCCCAGGACTCTCCCCACCCTCAATCTTGCTTCATCTTGCAGTTCTAGGAGCAGCACGAGTAAGGGAGAAGGCTTGCTCTTTCTAGGACTGGCAAAAGAATGAACCCTAACAAAAGGTAGATGAGGCCCAATGTACACCCTTCATCATCATAGGCAGGACCTCCTCCTAAGTCTCACAGTCTACCCTCTTTCAGTTCACTGCCATCTGTCTACCTTCCCTCATATGCTAAAACCAAAATCTCGAAAGACTAGAGTTTAATAAATCTTCTGAAATATATAGATTTCCTTCAGACTTTTGTGTCTTCACAAACACAGCAACATGGCAACACAGCAAGCAAATATCTCTACAGTTAATAATAATTTTAAAATTCATCAGGCATGGTGATATGCGGTATAGTCTCAACTACTTGAGAGAATGAGGTGGGAGGATCTCTTAAGCCCAGGAGTTTGGGATTACATTGAACTATGATCATACCACTGCATTCCAGTCTAGGTGACAGTGAGAACCTGTCTGACATTTTAAAAAAAGAAAGCTACACCAAAAAAACAAGAATAGTATGCTGAGCCCAGTGGCTCACACCTGCAATCTAGCACTTGGGAGGACCAGGGAGGAGGATCATTTGAACTAAAGAGTTCAAGATCAGCCTGCACAAGAGTGAGACTTCTTTGTCTCTACTAAAAAAATAATCAGGCTTGGCACCTGTAGCTCAGTGGCCAAGGCACTGGCCACATATACTAGGACTTACAGGTTTAAACCCAGCCCAGAGTCTACTAAACAACGACAACTACAACAAAAAAATAGCCGGGTGTCGTGGTGGGCGCCTGTAATCCTCGCTACTTGGGAGGCTGAGGCAAGAGAATCGCTTAAACCCAAGAGTTTGAGGTTGCTTTGAGCTGTAACACCACTGCACTCTACTGAGGGCGACATAGTGAGACACTGTCTCAAAAGAAAAAAAAATGTCCAGATCAGCTGGACATTAAGGTGGGTACCTGAAGTCCCAGCTATTCAAGAATCTATTTAAGCATAAGGATCAATCGCTTAAACACAGGAGTTTGAGCTCCTTTGCTATAAGCTAGGCTGAGGCCATGTTCTCTAGCCTGAACAACAAAGTGAGACACTGTCTCAAAGAAAATAAATTTCTCCAAGGATCTTAAAGGAGTGGAAGTAGAGGAATAAAGGAACAGAAAGACCTTCAACAAGCCTTTTATATAACCAGTAGAACTATTAGAAAGTTGTTCATTAACACACTTTTGTTCAGTGAAGAGTATAAAGACTGAAACTGAGTATTTTTTTCTTTTTTTTGAGACAGAGCCTCAAGCTGTCCCCCTGGGCAGAGTGCCCTGGCATTACAGCTCACAGCAACCTCCAACTCCTGGGCTCAAACGATTCTCCTGCCTCCGCCTCCCAAGTAGCTGGGACCACAGGCGCCCGCCACAATGCCCGGCTATTTTTTGGTTGCAGCTGTCATTGTTGTTTGGCGGGTCTGGGCTGGATTCGAACCCGCCACCTTAGGTGTAGGTGGCTGGCGCCTTACCCGGTTGAGCTATAGGCACCGAGCCTGAAACTGAGTATATTAAGAAAGGGAAGAGGAAAAGAAGAAAAAACCACTCAGAACCTACAAGTTAAGGCAAATTTAAGAAAAGCAATAAAAATTAAGGAGATCTCTTTTTTTTTTTCCTTAGACAGAGGCTCAAGCTGTTCCCCTGGGTAGAGTGCTGTGGCATTAAAGCTCACAGCAACCTCCAACTCCTGGGCTCAAGCAAGTCTCTTGCCTCTGCCTCCCAAGTAGCTGGGACCACAGGCGCCCGCCACAATGCCCAGCTATTTTTTTGGTTGCAGCAGTCATTATTGTTTGGCGGGCTGGGCTGGATTCGAACCTGCCACCTTAGGTGTATGTGGCTGGTGCCTTAGCCACTTGAGCCACAGGCACTGAGCCGAGATCTCTTCTCTTTTTATTTTTTTTTTGAGACAGAGCCTCAAGCTGTCCCCTTGGGCAGAGTGCCGTGGCATTACAGCTCACAGCAGCCTCCAACTCCTGGGCTCAAGCGAGTCTCCTGCCTCCACCTCCCAAGTAGCT